AATTTTGCTTCCCGTGCTCACGTGAAAGCATTAAGAAACAGGGAAGTGCTCAGGTTTGTATATTTTCTCTTATATTTAATAATTATTTAAAAAAAAAAGAGCCTAGTAAATGATGTATCATTAAAAGACTCAATTGTATATTTGTCTTATATTAAATAATAATAATAATAACAAGCCTAGCAAAATCTTATATTAAATAATAGTAATAAAATAAGCCTAGTAAATAATGCACCATTAAAAGATTCAGTATTATATATTTATCTTATATTAAAATAATAGTAATAATAAAATAAGCCTAGTAAATAATGCACCATTAAAAGATTCAGTATTATATATTTATCTTATATTAAAATAATAGTAATAATAAAATAAGCCTAGTAAATAATGTATCGTTAAATGACTCAATGTTTTTATATTTATTTTAAATAATAATAAAAAAAAAAAAAACAAACAAACCTCAGCTATAACAAAATATTACTTTTTCAACCAGAATTGTACCTCACCTGCTTCCATACCTCAATATATCAACTTTTATTACATCAGTTGAATGAGAAAAAGTTATGAAAAATCATTTTCAGGTATTAAAATTTTTATTATATTAAAATTCTTAATTAATTCTTAGCATTTCTTTTTCCAGGAAGTATACTGTCCGTCAGGTGAAAAATGCCCATTAGCAGGATCACATATGCCATGGGCATTTATGCAGGGTGAAATTGCAACTATACTGGGCGATGATTTTGAACAATTTAAAAAGGAACGAGAAGCAAACAATTCAACTACTACAGCACTCGTACAAAATAGTACTAATCAGGTGACTAATTAAATTATTTTAAAATCCAATTAAATTTTCGAGTAATTTAACATTATCATTTTCATTTATTCTTATGTTATTATTATTATTTATCCATTCATCTTCTTAAAAATTAGTTAATTCTTACTTGCAAAGCATCAAAAATTATTTAATATTAGTTAATTTCAATTTTATTTTCAGACTGGAACAAATCAAAATTCAACATGTCAACAAAATTCATCACCATCAGCTACAACAAGTATCGCTTCATCAACCGGTCAAAACGGTGCTCCATCCGTTTCCGTATCTCAACATGTCAATCTTAATTAAGTTGATAAAATGAGGAAAATTATTGTCAAATTCACTTGAACAGCTAAATTGCAATCTATATTGCTCAACAATCAAGAATCTATTTAAAAAAAAAAAACAAAATCAAAGAAAAAAACAAAAAACAAAAAAAAAAAAAGAGAACCGTATTTATTAAATCTATTACGGATAAGAAACGGAAAAAAGAAGAAAAATTTGCCTTTAAGAAATGGCTTCTGAATAATACAATGTAAATTCTCAAATAAGATAAGAAGAAATAAAATATAATAAAGTCACTGGTGAAGAACTCAGGAATCACTGATTGATTATGAACGAAAATATCATTTTTATGTATTATTTAAAAAATGATATGATTATTATGATCTTTCAAAAAGAAAAGAAAAAAAAAATTGGAATTGAAATCAATTCGTATATATTTTCTACATTAATTTTCTCATATTTCTTCCATGTTAAATATGTTGATTTCAATGTTTGCTTCCTTTTTTTTTTGAATCCTATTTTGAAATGTATTGTTGATCTCGAAATGATATGCCACATAGTGCAAAATAATCCAACCGCTTATTAAATCATATTATTTGAAGTGCTCTTTATCAACCCTAAAACCTTGTTTATTGTTTTCGATAATTTTATTTGTTTTCATTTTTCAGGTCTTCTTTTGGTTGTATTAATTTTTAACTTTTTTTTTTTTTTTAATGTACTTCCACTAATATTTTGAAAAAAAAAAAAAAAAAAAAAAGAAAACAAAATTTTTTATCATTGTCATCCTAATAAGTGTCCTCTTCTTTTTTTAATTTCTTTTTTTTTTTTTTAATTTTTTATACTATTATTACCATGAATAATATTAGTACTGCTCCAACCAATTCGTTCACTCGACAATGGTTATTTTTGTTTCGTTTCTGTAGTGGTTGTAATTCGGGTAAAATTTCTTGTAGTTTTTCTTTTCTTGAAACACGGTCTCTCGAAAAAATATATTTTCAACTCTAACTGCAATATTCGGCTCAAATCTAATTTCGTTATCAGCGATATTGCAGAAGCAAATAACAGAAATATAAAAAATGATTTCAAAAGAAAAATAATAATAATAATAATAAAACTTCTACATAACTTAAATTAATTTCACTAAAAATATAAAATTAGAACTTTTCTTTCTTTTTTCTGAGGTGTTATAACAACAGTAACTGATCTTGTTTGAATACCAACAGGAATGATTATTTTCGTTATACAAATAGAACAACTAAGTATTCTGCGGTAGGATAACAATTCATAAGTAGCTTTAAGATTATTTTAAGAGCTTTTACAATTTCCAAACAAAAAAATTATGAGATAGTCAATAGTTAAGTTACTATGGTTCATATTACAACGGAAGTCAACGCCTATGCAAATAGAATGATTATTCTTTGATTTTACTATCCAAAATAAGAGTGACAGGACCATCGTTTTCGATTTGAACATTCATCATTGCACCAAAACGACCATCCTGCAAAATTCAGATTCATTTCAGTAACTGCTTAATTTTGGCCTTAAAAACATGAAATAAATCATAAGGGATTCTAAGCAACAATATGTTCCGTTCGACATATTTTAAAGATTTAACTTTTCGTTTTGCACAATAATCCAATAACACAGGAAAAGAGTAAATAAACAACAATTGCAAAAGTGGAAATAACCTTTATCCGTTCAGGTACATATGCCTTTTTCAGTTCGTCCATAAAATTTTGATAAAATTTTTGTGATTCTGTGGGAGACATCGATCGGTGAAAATCCAGTTTATTGCCTTTCAGTAAGCTATACAACGTGAACTGGAAAATGAACTATTATGAGAAGAAATTTACAAATAACATAAATGAAATCCAAATTTAATAATCTCGAGTTATTTTCAGAGAGCAATTCAAATTGTAATAAATAAATAAATTTGTAATTCTTCTTTTTTTCGTGCTAAAACTAAAGCATATGAATGAAACTTACTTGACTTACGCAAAGTATCTCAAGTTCCAAATCTTTAACACTCTTATCCCATCGTTTACCTGTTTCAATATTTGGAAATATTCGAATACCTAATAACTTCCGTACCATAAACTGTATATCATCTGAGGTATCATCAACATTGATAGCCAATAGAACACATATTCCTCGACCAATTGATGATTCCTGAAATGATAAATACAATGAAAATAACTGTCACAAAAATATTAATGTAAAATTTTTTTGAAAGTTTTTAATTCAAAAGAAAAAAAAAGATTTAATTTTAAAAGCTGAATAATACTGACCAATTGACCATCAATAGAGACAGCAGCTTTTGTGACACGCTGAATGACAGCTCGCATTTGAGATAACCAAAAGATGAATTGTTGATAATTAATAATCGGTTAGCGTTTCATTCTGTATAACATTCCGGAAAATCGTACATTAACAACGTTCACACTTTGTTAACTCTTTTTATGTTCTGTAATTAATTTTAATAGTAACAAGTGATGTATTCTGCCATTACTGTATTATCCGGATGGCATAAGAAATCGTAGTTTGTTAGCACATAAGAAAATCGTAGTTTTTTTGACGTATTTATTAGACCACAAGGTGACAGAATCTGTGATCCGTTATACCGGAAAGTAAGGGAATTTATAATCACGTTATACCAGAAAGCAAGTGAATTTGTGATCTGTTATATCAAAAAGCAAGAAAATCCATGATCCGTTTACACCGGAAAATAAAGAGAATCGCTATGCCAGAAAGCAAAGGAATCCATGATCCGTTATGCCAGAAAGCAAGAAAATCAGAGACCTTACATTGAGAAATAGGAGAATACATGATTTGTTAGCAAGGAGATCTATGATCCGTTATACCAGAAAACAAGGAAAAACATGATCCGTTATGCCGGAAAGTAAGAGAATCTATGACCTTACACTGAAAAATAAGAGAATACGTGATCTGTTATGCGGGGAAGCAAGGAAAAACATGATCCGTTATGCCGGAAAGAAAGAGAATCTATAATCTTACATTGGAAAATAATAGAACACTGATCTCTTACGCCGGAAAGCAAGGGAATTCATGATTCGTTATATCGGAAAATATGTGAATACGTTATCCGGAATGCAACGGAATTAATGATCCGTTACACTGGAAAGCAGCAAAGAAATCCGTTACCGGAAGATGAACAAAACATTAAACGACAATATGAAAACAACGAAAATCAGAAAATATTTTTGGCATATTATTGGCAATAATATGAAAATAGGAAAAACTACAAACAAAAAAAACCTTAAATGAGTAATTTTATAAAATATAAAAAACCAAATGTAAATTTAGAGCTTTTTTAGCATGATGAACCTGAACCCAAAGCGGATTTAAAATTTTTATTTTTCATTTTTCGGTTTATTTATGAAATGCACTTTTGACTTATATAAATGCCATCATCCATTCTTAGTGCTTTACTCTTCATTTTCATGCCATTTTTATCTTTTCTTATCACTCTTCTTATCTCTAGATGACAAAATCTTCTCGTTTTTATCTTTTTATCTTCGCTTCAAACCATTTTTGGAATATTTTTCTTTTTTTTATTCTCAAACTTTAGTTATTTTATTTAACTGTATTTTAACATCTGTACTATCTGTCTTTCATCTTTTTTCATTTTTTTTTAAATTAGAATGATTGTTTTATCTGTTGAGTTTAGTATATGGAAAAACTTAGGTATAATATATACATACTTAGAAATGAGCATGAAAAACTTTAGCAGTGTAAGTTAACCTAAGTCGTAGTTGACTTAATGCTATTCTATTTTTTCTTCTTTTTTTTTAAAGTTTAACAGATTTGTAGATTTGTTGGTATTCGTAAATTTTATTAATAAATCAAAGACCATTTTATAAAAATGTTTCTTTTTTTAGCTGTTATGGCATTGCTTGATCCAGCTTCTATATCATTGGGTGAGGAAGAGGAGGAAGGAGAAGAAGAAGAGCAGATACTGAATGCAAGATGTATACCGACTGTTGGTGCTAATGTTATCATCGATGATTCAACCGGTCAATCGACATCAATCAAAAATAATCAAATTACAAGGGTACTTCATTAATATTTTTATTTAAATAAGCATTAATTCTATCATACAATTCGAATTTAATAAAATGAAATGAATGAATAGGTTAGTTACATTTATAGTTTTTCAAAAAATTATAGCTCTTAAAATTACTTGGTTTATTTTGGTTATTTTGATTGCTGAATACTCCAAATATTATTGAAAAACCTAACAAAGCTTCATCTAGCTATTTCTTTCTTTTTTTTTTTGACATGTTTATAGAATTGAAGCATTCTTTTTGTATTATTAATTGCAATTTGCAGGAATCGTCCTCGGGCACAGGTAGCAATAGAAATGATCATTATTCGAATGAATCTGCTTCACTAAGTTTTACGCAACCTCATTTCATGTATCAAGTTATTCCAAAAGCAAGTATGTAGTCAAATCTTTATTTTTGTCACTTTTTTTTTCCACTAGGAAGAGTTCATTATCTTGATGAATAATGTTTTAGTTGTGAAATTTGGCAATGTAAGGAAAAGTATCTTGATATGGATTTACGATCAGTTCTTGTCTTTTCTGTAGGAATTATTTGGGGTTTTTTTCTTCTTTTGTTATTATTTAAATTTTATCTTATTTAAATTTCATCTTCATATATTTTCTCATATTATTTATTTGTCCAAAATTCTATTCTTTTGTAGAAGTAGCACCCGAAATGTGTGGAAGTGTATGCAAAATTACCGTAAGTGATTTTTATTTTGTCATTTGAGAGAGTTAATTATATTCTTTTACTATTTCCTTTGTTTCTCTTTCATTTTTAATTTCTTTGCGAATTTTACACTTTGCCTTTTCTTTGCGTCTAAAGATTACTAACGGTTTTGCAGGTAGACCAGATTACGGATTCGATTTACTCGGATTTCATTATTTTGATGACTGGCGGAGAGGTGGTTCCACCAGCTGAAGAACATAGACAAATTTTAGATGCAATGGTTCAAGGAGATGATTATACAGTTCGTTTAGATTTATTGATTTGCTTGTTTTTCTTTTTGTCTCTGAAATAATCAAGAAATAAGCTGACTTAAATTTTTTTTTTAGGCATCATAAAAAATAGAATTTATATTCTTGACAAAAATTCATTTTGATAAAGTTAATTTTGGATGAATTGTTGTTTAGGTAGCATGTGATGTAGACGATGAATTCCTTGGTCACCTCGATTACGTGATCGTTCACCTACCTTCCATAAGACTTTTGCTAACCAGTGAACAACGTGAACAAGTTATAGAATCTGCTGTGGCACGATTTAAAAATGATAAACATCCAATTGGTGCTTGCTTGCAAATGCTACAGAAAAATTATATCGGGTTTCCTTCCGTTATCAGAGTTAGTCAATTATTTAATTCTGAAAATAATTTCTTAATTTGAGCTATTAGTTCAACAAGGAATGAAATATGTATGTAAATAATATCCGAATATGCAATATTCCAAATGTTTGATAAGAGATTCAGTATGAAATTCAATTTTTTCCTCTTTTTTTTTTTTTCAATGAGTGATAGCTGTAATTGTACTATGTATGCTATCTGAAGGTAATAAATACGTTAAATTAAAAAGGAAATTGCAAAATCTATTTCAGCTACGTAATACACTGATGGATTGTTTGAGTCGTTTGGTGATAGCAGGAGAGGACGACGTAGATTATGCGGTGCCACGTTTGGGTAGCTCTATCGCTCAAGGTTTTGCTGGTGAAGGTATGTCTAATGATTTCGTATTACCTGGAAGCAGTTCAGATTTTGCTCGAAAAAAAGGTTGCTTTTCTTGTGTAAAAAATTGTGATAATTTCTAGATGATAGTTTTATTATTGTTTTTGTTTGCTTATAGATTCTTAGTAAGCCAACTGCAAGTTAAAGCAGATTTTGAAAATATTTAAGTCACTATATACGGTTATCCCTCCTGTAAATAACGTATGGTTTTGCTAATCTTATTATTTAATTCAATTATTAAAATTTTTTTCCAAAAATGCATTTGAAGCATCATTATATATAGAAACTCAGTTTAATATTTCTTTGAGTAAGAGCCTAGATTAATTTTTACTGGTCGACTATACTTCATTTAAATTTTTTGCTAGGCGTTTCTCAAAATTTGTTGAATACGGCTATTCCGGACAATGAATATGATGTACTGGCACAAATTCTAACCAGAAAATTAAAAATCGATGATGTTGAAAATGTTGTTCTAAGAGAAGCTATTAAGGTATCTTTGTTCTTTACAGAAAATAGAAAATTTGATAAAAAAAAATTGCATATTGTAAGCTCGACTTTTCCGCATTATCTTCATTTAATAACACCGACTCATATAATGTTTATTTGTAGGCACGAATGAAAGGAGGATTGCTTATTGGCGAGTATTGGTCAGAGCCGAATGAATTTTTATCATCTGGTTGGCGTATTCGATTACGTGATTCCGGAAAAATTGTTCCACGAATTAGTGAAGTTGATGATGTATTATTTTTACGATTATTGATTGGTTATTAATTTTTATGCCTGATTTGTTTCAATTCTTTTTTTTTTGTTTTATTTTACCTACTTTTTTAGATTTGGCGACGATGCTACGAAACAATGCCAGATTGCACACAAAAACAAATGTTAGCTTTTTTGGAGGAAAGATATGTGGGTGTAAGTTTGAAAACAAAACAACGAACAGCAACGAAAGATATTCTATTGAAAGGATCACGAGTACAATTTCCAAGTAGACCACGTTGTATTGGAAGTAAACCTATGCAATATGTTCAGGTTTGTTATTTTTCTGCAAATTTTTTATTTTGCGAAGGAATATTTTAGTTTTAATGCATTAAGATTTTGTTGTATCACTGATATTATTGCATTGTTTATGATCATTTTGCCTTTATTTCTATCATTTTAATTTTCATTTCATTTTATGTTAATTCATGATGATTGCTGTATTAATGTATGATCTAATGAATCTATAGCAATGTCAGATACATTTTATATTTATTTATTTATTTTTTTTGCATTTGATCATTTGTATCCGGTAATTTTTATATTTGATCTTTTTTTAATATCTAACATTTATATCTAATTTTTCTTTTTTTTTTTTATTTCATCATTTGCATTTGATTATTCTGTTATTCTATGATATAGTTTTGTTTTTTTTTTTTTTAAACGCTTCTGAAATTTAACTCAAATGACTTATTTTTATTTATTTAATCGTTAAGATTGATATGGTTGAAATGGAATGTTCGGAATATGGAGATCGTTGTTATACTATGGCATTAATTGTAACCGATCTTTACTCTCATTTTGTATTTGGTCGAGCATTAGCTGAAGCACCGGATACTTCGTTGCTTGTTCGACATTTAATGGATATTTTTGGAGCTTTTGCCCCACCAGGTAAGCATATTTCTAACAAATGTATTTTCTATTTATTTTCCTACTTTTCAATTGCGTTAATGGTTTAATGTGCATTTTATTGAAATGAATTTTAATTTTAGAAGCTTATCGAACTTATACAAATGATGAAGTAATTGGTCTTGTTATATCGGATATCGAGAAATTGTTCAAAATCGAAATTAAAAATATTGGACACGGTGTAAGTACCCATAGTTTTTATTACATTTTTATCAACTTACTAAGTGAGTCATATCGATTCCGAAATATGAATTTTTTTTTTTTTTTTTGAACTAGACTATATAGTCTTATAGTTGTAAATTTTCCTGAAATAATTAATCACTTTTAAATATTTTGATCTTTTTCATCAGCGAAAGTTATCCTTAAATTATATTTCAGATTATTTTTTTTCAGGTAATGAATCATGCTAATCTTTGTGCTAGTATGTATAAGCGTGCAGCGGAAGAACTTGGTGGCCGTGAACGGTGGGTTGAAGCACTTCCATTTGCAGTTATTGATTACAATCAGACTCCGGTTAAATGTTTTGGTGATCTTCGAATTTCACCATTTGAGGTGATGTTTTAGCTTTGTTTTTTTTTTTTTCCTTTTTTTTTTCCTTTTTGTTTGCTATACAGGTTAAAAATGAGAAAAAAGAGCAAAAAAAAATGAAAAGAAGTTTTCGTTTAAAAAAAAAATAATAATTATTATTTATTTAGATTATGTTTGGTCGAAGACCTTGGCGAAATCATAGTATTCCACCATGGGTACGCGGTGCTTTATATAACGAAAATATGAATGAAACGAAAGGTTTATGATAAATTAATCAACGATATATATTTCTTATATTTATTTATCTTTTATTAATTGCTCAGCTAGCAGATGAAGTTGTACTGTGATAGAATATTAGATAGTATGTATGGATTTTCTCCAAAATGATTGATATTTAGTGCATAAAATACCTTTTTAAACCACTAATTGAAAACATGAGGCAAATATTTTACGTCTTTCTATCATTTTACAGTTTCATCAATTAGTAGAGTAAGAAAGTAAAATTTTGTATTTACGACTTTTTTTTTTTTTTTCTGGATTTGATTTAAATGAATGTGATAGTTATTCCCGTATATTTAATATGCTCAAATTTAGGTTATGCGGAAGAAAATCGTGTGGAGAGTATGAGCGGTGCAACAGTAAGTTAATTATCTTGTTTTTAAACTGAAAATTTACAAGTTAAATCTTATAAATTTATCTTCTTTTTTTTTTATTTTATTTTTTTTTTAGGCTGATTATTTTGTTTTCATATTTAGCATTTTTTTGTTTTGTTCAGTTAAGCTTACGCCGTTCTATTGATTCAATTTATAAGATCAGAAAAAAGATGTTATTCAGAATTAAATAAGCTTTTTTATAAAATTCAGGAAATGTGTCTGATACGTTCTACTCCACTTCCACGACGTCCTGAAGTTGAGGAACGATTAGCTAATGTGTATTTAAGCGAAGTATCTAGTAATCGTGCTAAAATTTCCTGCATACTTGGCCGTTATCCAGCAAAATTCAATGATTCAGGTCATGTTGTCGATCCGGGTACTGGTTATTTGTATGAAGTTGGTGACTGTGTTTATGTAAGTTTTTTGATTATTGTTCACTTCAATATTTTAATAGAGATAAACTATTAGATTGATGATTCCACTTTACTTTATTAAACTTTTACTATTCTTTTTTTGTGAAAGATAATTATTGAATTAATTATAGCTTCGTAATTTTGAACAAGACGAAGCATATATTGATCGTCCAAAAAGGCGTCACAATGAGTCAAATTATTATCGTGCAAGTATTATTGAAGTGGATTATCAGAATCCGGATTTTATGTATAAAGTATGCTACTGGAATGATATCATTGATATTGATCATCTTCCACCAGATCAATGGCCCGGTGAAGGTTAATTTTATTTATGTTTATTTTTTTGCAAAAAAAAAAAGGAAAAAAAGAAAATATTATTATAATGATTTGTTGCATAATATAGGGTTAATTTTGACATATGAATTCATTTTTTAGTGAAAAAAAGTAAATTTTATTATTATTTTTTTTTTTGAATTTGTTTAAAAATTTGATATTCGTGTTGGTTTTTTTCTTTTCAGTTCTTATCAGTTTAAAATTATTCCAGTGAAACAAGTTAAATTTTTTAGGGTCTTTATCAGCTTGGGTTTCACCCTATGATGTTGCTCCTTCTACTGCGGATCTCGCAAGACGTAGAAATGTCGGTATGTTTATTATCCTTATTATTATAATACATTTATTATATTTAAATTGAGTTTGTTGCATAAAAAAATAGATTTTGTTTTAAAAAATTGACACCAAAACTATATTTATCATTTTATGCAATGATGATATTATTAATGATGTATTATTTGTAGTAAGGCGTCGAGAACTAGAATTTCAATGTAAATGCGGTTATGATTTCTGCGAGTTAACTTATAATCAAAATTGTCCATATAAATTGTCACAAGTTTGTTGCCAACGACTTAAAATGAATTGTCCTTATCATTCTCGTATAAAAGCACCACCAATGTTGCGCTCAAAGGTTAGGTTATTATTGTCATAGTTGATTGTCACATTAATTTTTTCTTTCAAATGGTATATATCGTTGAAAGCTGATTAGAATTTCGAGATTTGCTCTTTTTTTTCTTTTTAATGTGCATATTTTCAGAACTTAGCTGCACCTGTACTTAAATTAGCAGCAGGTGGAGAACGAAGGTATGAATTTTCCATTATCTTTTAAGATTATATTTTATGAGAATCATATGATCATTCATCGTAACATTTTCCTTAATAAAATAGGTTTTTAGAATATTATTTTCACTTTTGTAAATGTTTCCGAAAAAAAGTTTGTGTTGTTAGTTAAACGTCATTTTTCTTTTTTTTTTTTTGTTGTGTCAGTAATAAATTATAATTTGACCATACTTCTAGATTGCTTGCAGTACCGAAGCGAATGAAATCTGAAGTCGATCATTCAAGCTCTCGTTGGGTTTTTCAAGGTTTATCCTAAAGTATATTATGTGTGTGTGTGTGTGTTTTTTTAAATACTTTGTGTGTTTTTCCATATATATAAATCTCAATGTAAAAATTTGTTTTATAATTATAGGAGGTCGTTATATTGAACTCTTTCCAAGTTCATCGAGCGCAACTTCATCATTATTAGGACGAGATGACCAGCAGAGTAATGTTCACTTCGATTATGATGTTGGAGCATTTTCATCTAAAAGAAGAAGATTGCAGGTCAAATTTTAATATATTATCTTATTAGCGTGTACATTTTCAGAAGTGGAATTATGCTTGTTGAAATACTGAAATTCTTTACATCTTCAAAATTTTCACATCATATTCTAAGAAATTTGAATTTCATCATGCAGTTGTAGGTTCAGTATGGTAACGCTTATTATTCGAATTTTGTTTATGATGGAAATCCAATGATTTCGGTTAGTTGTGTCACGTCTTACGTCTTTTAGGTTTTTAGGCTTCCATATTTTTCATGAATTATTTATATTTTGATATTTTCAGAGGATTCCTACTGATCGTTCATATGGATATCAAGCAGTGGAACTCTATGAACCGAAAGGTTTTCAATTTTGATTTCTGTTAAATTTATTGTTTGAATGATATTTTTATATTAGCATAGTAATCAGTCGAATTTTAATAACACTTCGAGAATCATTTTGGAACTTCCTACAATCTTCAACTGAAACGGACCTGTACAAAATATGGCATTAAAATTATTGTTGAAATTATCTCCCACATGAATGTGAAGTATAATTGTTCAATTCGCGGCATTGTGAAATTTTTTAATTTTCTTATATGAGACTCTTAGGATAATTTCTTTGTAAATTTAATAATGAAAAAGTCGGAACTAATTCTGTTTTCTTTCTATCAAATTATGAAAAAAAAGTAAAATTCTCTCAAATCCCAAAAAAAAAGGTGAAATCCTTTCTATAATTTGATTAGTTTGAATATTTTTTCTTCCAAGATTGTTCGTGCAGTAATTTTTTAATTATTCGAAAAACTATTTTTCTGTCTCTATCTTAGCGTTAGTGCTGCTTCTTAATGATTTGTTTTGTGTTTTTATCAGATCTGAAATTAATATTAGCATAATTTCAGATAATCTAGTAATTTCAAATGCCAACGAATTGGAAGGATTAGATGTAGATGATGAAACTATTGATGTTTCTTCAAATGGACAGGATGCGCCTCCCTCCGAAATTGTTTGTTTTATTATAATTTTTTTTTCTGTATTTTCTCTTGATTTTTTTCTTCAAAACAATTTTGCAATTATAACTATCTCTTTTTGCGCAAATGATTCTCGATAGAAACTGGAAAAGTAATTGAAATTTGTATGTTTTAGCTTTCGAACCAGCCAATATTTCTTGCTCGAGATGATTCAAAAAGGACAGCAGAAGCTAGGAATGGTAAAATGCAGAAAATTCAACAAAACCCTTTGCAAGTATGTTGTAGCAAACTTTGAACATATCCTAAATATCGAAAAAATATTAGAGCTGTTTTAAATTAATTTATTGCAATGTATAGTATTTACGAAAGTACTGGGAATGGTCTTGACATTTTACTCTTTTTTGTGAAGTTTATCGATTGTAATTTCCTTACCTACTGTTCGGTACCGTAGCGTTCCTTTACACCTATTATGATAAAAATGGATTTGACTAATTAATTTTATTCTCTTGAATAAATATGAAGTTTGTAGGGGTTAAAAGAAAAACATCATTAAGTTGCTTTTTTAAATAGATTTTACATTCATCCGCAGCATGAAAAATTATATTGACATCATATTTTTTCTGTTATCATCTTTAAAAAAAAAAAAAAATTAGGGATGCTTTCGAAATTTAAATCATTTCAGGTTGATGTTCTATCAATGAGAAGCACAAAACGTATATCTGCACCTCCACAGCGACTAAGTCCTACATAGAATTTGAAATTTCATGAGATTGTTATTATTTTTATCAAATAATGTACGATATCGTATTAATTGAAATATAATAATCGATTTCGATCTAACTTTTTTTTTATGCCTAGATCATGAAGTGATCTTGAAGATAGAGGAGCAGAAAAAAATTCTAAAAAATCTGGTTAAATAGCTTAATGTATCAAGTGAAAAATCAATCATGTTTTCCAATCAATACCTGAAGAATAACTCACTCATTTTACTTTTGATTTAGTCTCACTAATATCGATCGAGAATAGTGCAATGAGAATTGAAAGGCTGACATCATTTGGGTAGTAATATCATTCAAATTATGGTTTAATTTTTCTTTTTAATCTCTTTATTTACTTCATTTCTTTTCGTCAGTGATATTTTTTTTTCTTTTTGGTGATTTGATAATGGTCTAGTTTAATTTTTCAAATAAAGAGCGATTTAATTCAATTCTGTACCACCAGTACAAATTTAAAATTGTTTTGAGATATCAGAATGTATTTTAGAAGTTTTTGTTTACTTTTGTTTTCTTTCAAAATCAAAATATGTTTAAGGCTGTTTTTGTAAATCTCATTTATATCTTGGTCTGAATGAAAAATAATAGTGTGATTTTGCATAACAGTTTTAATTTGCAGTACTGAATGAAAAATAATAGTGTGATTTTGCATAACAGTTTTAATTTGTATTACTGCATTTATTTTCCAGTGATATCATGTGAATTGTGCTAATTTTGAAACAAATATAATTGTTACTTATAAAATCACTGTAGTAAAAAATTGTGTACTTAACTTTTCTGTTATTTCAAAATCACTCTTATACTGGACTTCTTCCATCAATTATTCCAACATACTTTTAAATTGCTTAAACAACATATCTTATTTAACCAACTGATACTTTCATTTATTCCTCTTACTTCAAATTATCATATTTTTACTCATAAACATTTGATAGCCAGTTGTAATTATATTCACTTTATCTTATATCTTACTTGATGTTTAACTACTTTTGATTCGTTATTTTTATGATCGGAACAATAAATATATTTGCCTGATGATTGAGCAATGACAAAGCATAAAAGAGGACGAATAGAACCGACAACGAGAATTTTGATGAAATTATTTGACGTGCGCAGACATACGTTTAAAGGATTATCTGTATCATTTGAATGCATCGAAATATTTCATCTGAATTCGTAGATATTTGCTCGTAGTATTCTACTATTATAAATAATTTAGGATAATAATCTATTGACAAGATGAAAAAAGCAGTGATTATTATACATATTAGGGTTTTTTTCTTTTTGTTTTCTTTTATAAATTTTGAAAAATCTTTTTTTTACCTTTTTTAATTTTCTAAATTTGCTTTTTTTCTTTTAAAAAAAAACTTTAAGATGTAAGATTTCATCGAAATAATCCAAATTCAGGAATTGAGTGAATATAGGTTCAATTTTTGAATGGCAGATTTTGCAATTTTGCAAGGAAGCATGAAAGAATGATCCGAATATTCCACAATATCATCGTAATATGATTCCATAAAGCTGTTTAAGCTAATTAAGTGGTACGTTTATCAAACGATTTGTCAAAGGAATATTCCGACTCAAAAAGATATTACTGTATCACAAAATGTTAATTAATAGTGTTTACTTATGCTAATAACATGATTTCAATAATTTTATATAATAATATAAAAATGAAATCTTCAAAAATATAAATCCAAAAAATAAATGAATGAAAAGAAAAAAAGAAATGAGCTAAATTAAAGAATTTAATTCATTTCTTTTCAAATTGTTTTATCAAATTGTACAGTTAAAATATCCATTTCTTATTTTAATTATTTGATCCATCAATTCATTATTTTGTTGTATTTTTTAGATGCATAATATGTAAATCACTTATTATTATTCAATGTGACATCTTTTAATGTCACAAATGACCATCTCACGTCATTTATCATTCTTTGTTTTACAGTATGCTAAAGAAGTAGATTCTGAAAGTAATTCATTTCACTTATTCATTACAGTATGCCGAAGTACTTTCTGGAAGTAGATATTTCACTTATTCATTACAGTATGCCGAAGTACTTTCTGGAAGTAGATATTTCACTTATTCATTACAGTATACCGAAGTACTTTCTGGAAGTAGATATTTCACTTATTCATTATACGTAAGAAATAGATTTTGGAGATAGTTTCTTCTACTTATTCATTACAGTATGCCAAACAACCAGATTCTGAGTGTAGCTTGTTTCATTCATTCATTACAGTATGCCAAGGAATTGGATTCTGTAGGTAGCTCATTTCACAGGTAGCTCATTTCATTATAATATACCAAAGGAATATATTTTGACAAGAATTATCCTTGTAAATTATAAAATAATCAGTGCAAAAATTTTACAAATTGTTTCATCCCTAAGTAATAAATTATTTATTAGTTTTATACGATATACAATGATTTTCATTTTTTTTTTTTCTAACATTTATAATTAATTATTATTTTTAATTTTTACTTATATATGGTCATACATTCATTTTTTCCTTCATTGTTTACACATTTTTTTTATTTAAAAAATTTTTACCAAAAAAAAATGCCACTGAGAAATCGTTTTTTTTTTTTCAATTTAATTAGTCAAAATGAAAATATTTTGCACGTTTGTTAATAAATTGCTGTGATGAAAAGATTAAACAACTTTTAATTACAATTTTAAATATAATTTGATCATAAAGAAATGAACAAATTAAAATTTTGCTCTTTAGATTGTGAAGAATTGATTTTTGTCAAGTAAAATGACAATTATTTATGGTCAACTTAAAATGTTTTCTTTTTCCTTAAAGATATTTTCTCGTATATTTTAAACAAATTTTTTTTTTTTTTAATTTCAATTCTTCTCATTTTCTCTCTTTTTCTCCTTCTCTCTCTCTTTTTCTCTCTCTCTCCCTTTTTTTCTCAAAAAATTAAATAAGAAGGGAGAAAGGGAAAAAAAATTACACAAATGATGTCTAAAATGATGGAGACAGCTGTGACGGATTTGCATTACGGAACATTGCCTTAGCTATTCTCTTCCTAATACTCTCTCTTTTCTGCTTCATCGAGTACTATCAGTTTAGATCCAATATGTAAATTTTAATTCTATCTTTGCCTCATTTCTTTTTTTTTTCTTCTCTTTTCTTAATTATCATTACAGTCACATATTCATTTCAATATGATAAATATTCAAAGTAAAAATTAATTATAGAAATGAATTTTGAATATTTTTATGAAAATATTAATCAATTTAAAATGAATAATAAACAAAAAAAAAAGAAAAGTGTATGATAAATAATGTGAGAGAAAAAAAAAAAAAGAAAGAAAGAACAAATTAAAAAAAAATAAATTTGTATAAAATTTTTTTAACAAAAGCAAAAAAAAAAAAACGAACTGAACGAAATGAGTTAAATTAACTTAGTAAATTTGAAAAGTAAATTTGAGCTTAAAATATATTTGTTTTAATTGAAAATTTATCTAAATAAATTGAAAAAAAAATTTTTTTAAATGATTTGAAATAAAATTTATTGCAATTTTTATTTCATATTGATGATGATGAGATCAGAAATTAGCTATTGCTAATGTATGGCAGCTGTATTTCTTGGCTAATTACATACTATCATAAGAATATCACAAAATTACCGTTTGTTCGGGGTCATAGATATTGTAATTGCTAATTAGGCATATACTTCGCTTAATGGACCTTGAAATTTTATCCTTTAAACTTTAGTAAAATTGTTTTTTTTCTAAAAGTAACTTTGATTAAATTCTACTATAATTTTTGAAAAATAATTTGTAGATAAAATTCAAAAAAAAAAAAGAAATAATAATAAAATTAATTTACACTTCTTTTTCTTAGTAATATATGATTGAAATTGTATATAAAATATTTGTATGAATCTTATTAAATAATTATTAATTAAATAAATTAGCAAAAATTTGCACAATTTTAAATCTGAAATTGACAGATAATAATTATTATTAGTTATAAACAATGAAAATAGATAAATATCATAAAAAACATTAAAGAAAGAAAAAAAAAAGATTACATACTATTGTGTTAATCTAATTTAAAGAAAAAAAGTATACACTTATTGAAATACAAGTGGATCATTTTTAATTATATTCAAACAATAATCCTCTTCAACCTTTAACCTTTCCCTCTTACTTCTTATTTCCTACAGTGATCATTTGCATAAGTAATAATAAAAGGTGAAGTAGTATGAGTATGAGAAAGAAGTTTGATGAGTAGTAAAGTAGTCAAATATTATTAATCCATTTTTGTATCACAAAGTTTTTCTTTTTTTTGCTCTCTCATTTTTCTCTCTCTGTTTTTTTCTCTCTCCCTCTCTCTCTCTCTCCCTCGTTTACTCTCTTTATAAATGCTTATCTGGAAAGGAAACAGTAGAGAATAAATAAATTATTCTCACCTAAGTTCATCATCATTTTGACCTCAACATATATGAACAAATGACAATTGTCAACTTTAACTATTAATCTTTGATCCTTGGAAAGTTTACTTTGAATTTAAAAAAAAAAGAAAAATGTTGAAATTAATTAATGTTAATTTAGCACAAAATGATTTAACCAAAATGTAAATTTTTCTTTTGCTATTAGCTTATTCAAATATAATAACTTCAAAAAGTTCTAAATTTCAATTTGTTAAAAAAAATTTGAAAACTTTTTTTAATTATCAATTGTCAACACATGAAATTATCAAATAGTTTCATTTTTCTTTGTTTTTCTTCTGTTTGCTTTGTTATTCTTTTAAATTTCATAATTTTAATTTTTGCATTAATAATTTATTTTTGCTATGCAATAATTTTTGGAAATTTATTTTCAACTAATTAATTTAGCACACTTTTCTGCTAATATGCTAGAGCTTATTTCTTCAACAAATTTTAATTTTTATAAATAAAAACAAAAAAAAAAATTTTTTTTTTATTCTTTCCTTTCTTTTTTGACTAATTATGT